AAAGCGTAAAGACGTAAAAGCGTAAAGACGTAAAAGCGTAAAGACGTAAAAGCGTAAAGACGTAAAAGCGTAAAGACGTAAAAGCGTAAAGACGTAAAAGCGTAAAGACGTAAAAGCGTAAAGACGTTACGTCTTAACGGATCGGACAGGCCTCGTTGAGGAAGCTGAGATTATTTTTTTTTTCATTATTACGTAATTCATATAACAAAGTGTTACTTGATTTTTTTCATTCTACGTTATTCTTCTATGGTACGCCTGATATTATTATATATAGTATCGTGCTCTGCCTCACTTCTAATAGAATGGAATGAAAACTGCTAAACGTCATGTCGCACTGCTAAGCACTATATCGTCTTACCGAGCACTATCCTTCATGGTGCTATCCTTTTTTCTCTATAAAGTTGGCATTCAATTCGGACTCTCTAAGTCGTAGAAGACAGAACAGTTCCAGTAATATTACTATATATCAAAACTCCTTTCATATCTGTCTTAATAAAGCACTAGACAGAGTCATAAAAGAACTTCCTGTACAGCTACTTACGTGACTCAGTAGTTAGTGGTCACGAAAAGAGTTTCAGAATTGATCGCGACCGAGAATGTATCGGTGAAAAACATTTAATGAGTTGTTACCAGCAGCTAATTATATAATCTGACTTAACAATCTTACAAAAATCTTATCAGGACTATATCAGATATCGATAAGGATCTAATAAGAGAAAGTCACGACTTTTCGCCAGCTCTTATGGATTCCTTATCAGCAGGTACGTTACAAACCCAAACCCAAGCCACTTGGGTATATAGACTTGGGCATTGAGTTTGCCCTTGGTCAGTTGTCAAAAGACCATTCTTCTTTTTCTTCAAGTGCAACTTATCAGTAGTAACTTTTTGACGACTTTCTACCATACGTTTCATTTGTCTCTTCCTTCTCATTGACCTTATTTTCTCTAACAAAAATCTGTTCTTTTTATAAAGGCTTTTTAATTTGGGAAAGTACTGCCAGCTGAAGTCTGTTCTGTACATGTATTTAAGACATTGACAACTAACGATGGTAGAACGATGACAAAATAAATAGCATAAAAGAACTGAACTTTTTTAGACATTTCATCTAATTCAAAGAAAGTTCTTATCGTTACCGTCTTGCACACATATATCCACAGGACGAAACTAAACACTGCACATTCTGTTTTTACATGAACTACCATGAAATAAAGCATCTTACTAAGCTCTTATTAACCCAAGCCCAATACAATACCAAAACCAACTCTGACCCAAACCTTGGGAAGTCTTGGAACTACCTTGCGGAATTTTATATAAGACCCAAGTAAGATTCTTATAACGCTCTTATCAGAATTTATAAAAAATATTTCTGTAGGGCAAATAGTAGAGTCTGTCTATAGAAAAATGTTAAATAATTGACGAACGGTTATGAATTTTAATAAACACCTATCAAAAAACAACATGTGTTGACGATTATTTGCCACGATTTATTGACTTTTATAACATAATTAGTCAAAGAATTTAAATGGACTACTACATGAGAATCCAGATTATCGAAATTGAAAATACATTAGGTCAGGATTAAATATTTATATTTCACAATGGACAAATTTATCATGGTGAAAGAGACTGTTTCGAAACTCGCTTCTGACTATTACTAGAAGAGTTAGAGAATGATAAGCTAACAATTGTCTTAAGCATATTTTAAGAACTACTTGAACTCAACATTAATCAAAGTTTGTCAAGTGTATTAAAATCTGACAACTTGTACCGAACTTCAACAAATCAGAGTTTAACAAATGCCTTGTTCACATACTTCCTTGCAAAAAAGGCTTATTCGAAGCTCAATTTCTTGCAAGTAGCTTAACAGACTGTTTTTTTGTTTAACTATGATACAAAGTCGAACAAGTGTCTTCATTAAGACTCCTTATTGCAACTATGGTTGACGATGCCATTCTGCGTTTCATTCTTCGGTCAGAAAAATTCATCAGATGACATTGAGCGAAATAACAACTGTCTTATGAGGGTATGACATGATGACTCGTTGCATAAGTTCCGCTTTCTAGTTGTCAATATCATCCTCTTTTACTATATTATCAGCGGTAAAATGTATTATACCAATTGACATGTCACAATGGAGAAGTTTGTCATGATAGACGAATAAGAGAAAGAAGCGGTTTCGAAACTCGTCATGGTAGAAAAGCAACTTGTCGCAAACATGAATGTAAAATGTTTTTTTGTTACATGATTTTACTGTAGATGCATCATCATGTATCACTTTGTTGATTCGGCGAAGGATTTAAGGCTAGCGGAAGATCGATCTACCAGCTGATGCGGTGCTTGTTTAAGCGATTCATCCGTAGTTTGACTAGGGATTCGATCTGTAACTCCACTTAGTGGTCGATCTGTAACTCTGCTTAGTGGTTGATTTGTAACTCCACTTAGTGGTCGATCTGTAACTTCACTTGGTGATTGTTCAAGTGTTGCCACCATTTCTTGAAGCATCAGTTTAGCACCACGTTTGCCTAAATCTATTTTTTGTCGTTCTAACAACTGTTCTTTTTTTGCATCGGCCCGTTGACGTTTTTGAAGAAAATTTTGGCGTTGTATTATATCTTCGCTTAATTTTTCAATCGATTTTTGTGCTTCACGAATATGAAGTGCAGCTGAACCTCGGTCACCGTCTCGAAGAGATTTGGTTGTTTCACGTTCATCATAAGCTAACTTTTTAGACAGTTGTTCCGCTATGAGTTCCTTCAATTGTAGCTCAATATCATTATTAATTTTTGATATCGATGTTAATTTTGAATATAAAGTTTTCCATTCATTGTAGTCATCCGGATGATTACAAAGAATACTTATAGATGTTACCTGACGAAGTTCGTGCAAGTTATCAACAAATAATTTTTGGTCATCTCTTTTCATTGTACGTAAAATCATAACTATATTGAATGGATTATTCTTGTTAGCACGAACATATTTCACGCAATTATAGGATTCGTGAAATATTTTGTTGTACTCTATAATAAAAAACACTTCTTTTCTACTTCTAAAGCATTTGGGTGTCTGCTCGAGGAAACGTTTGGGTGAAATCGGGTATGGGCTAATAAAACTTGACACTATGACGAAGAAGAACAAAAGGAAAACAACAACAAAAAAGAAACGTTAAATACGATGAAAGAGAAACAGAGACAAATACTGATTAAACTTTAATCAAAATAGACTAAGCTGTTGAATGCAAGGCTGCTCTTCTCTGGCTCTGAACTCAACGCTTCCCGTCCAGGTTCGGAGCCGCAGCTGCCCAGTTCTGGTTATAGAGTATATTTGTACTTCAAAACGATTTTCATTTTCATATTTTTCCTTACTTGAAAGCCTAGTAAATTCAATCAATGAAGGAAAAACAAGGAAAGATGAACATCTTTGGAACCGTATGTAAAAACTCTAGGAGAGAAGCCGGAGCCGGGAGGAGTTGAAGCAGCCCAGCTCTGATAACAAACAAAGTACATTGCAAGAAATAGTGAGAAAGGCTCTCTTTCGTTACATTGTCACACGAGCAGAATGAATCATAGACACAATTGGAAAGACACAAGTCTTTCCGCAGCTATGAGAAACCGACTCTACATCTGCAATAATTTCTGTTTCCGCGCTACGCAAAAAAAGCGCGCCGTAATCGGACCTAATTTCGTTCAAAAAAATGACTTTTGTTACTTTTTCTCAAAAAATGGAAATCTGTTTTCTTTTCGCTTTACTTTTCAAAAAATTCGGTTTTCGGTTTTTCATTCATTCGAGTTTTTTTTCTTCTTCCCCTATCATTTAAATAAAAGAAGAAATTTATTTTCGATTATCATATTATTTAGTGCGAATCGGTTTGCTTTAACGTAATTTAAGTTAGTCCTTTGTTCTGTACATCCATTTCACACTTTGACTCCTTGTTCGTCCTCTTTCGGAGGAATTCTGGGGAAGAGTTACACAATACAATTCTTTTTTAATTTTCAATCACAGTTCTTGTCTTAGGAAAGAGAAAATAACACACTTAACAAACTAAACTAACGGACAAAAATGAACAAAATCTAGAAAGGAGAGATAATTTGCAATTGTAGTTTCATCACCCTCAACTGTTCATTTTCAGTTTTTCAAAACATCTTATTGTTGAAGAAAAGAGTTCGACTGTAATAAAAACATACAGTATACTATTTGTTGTCGGAAGGAAAGAAAAACGAAAGTATTCATACTTGAAGTTGAATAACTCGAAAAACATCCACAAGCATTTGTTTTTGAAATGAGTAATAGCTGATCTTAATTCATCAAAGACTGTCGCCTTTTCTACTGTGTTTGATGTCATTTTTCTCTTTCTCTGTTCTGTTCTCAAGTACGCGTGGTGCTACAACGAAAATGCTATTATTTACATTATCGCAATACGGTCATGGAACATCCACGTTTGTTGACGGAATGATAAAAATATGTCGAAAATTAATGCCTCTGCGTAATGAAAGTCATTTTGTATAGAAATTGATAGCGATGATAAAACAGACAGAAATGAATTTATTAAATTTTAATTTTGATACGAATAGTAGTCGGAATGATGTTGATATGACGGATACAAGTCCGATTTAAAAATATTGATCAACAGCCTTCTTCTACTGCTCACAATGATGAATCTATTGTTCGAATAATGAAGACTCAGCTAAATTATCATCATTTGTGGTGGATTAAGCGCATACAAATTGATCGTGAAAAATTAAAAATATTAGATAAACACCACCGAGGCTTTATCATTATGTAAGATGCTGGCAATTCAATAAGAAGCAAAATTTTCATGTTTAACATTTTCTTAAAATTCCAAACCTATTCTTTTCTGATTTTCCATCGAAAATTAATTATTAAAACTAACTTTATCCTTTTTGTGAACTAAAATGAGCTAAATATTTGCAGAACACGACTAGAACAGTAAGATTGGTTCTGTACATCTTGCAAACTTATCCAGTCCTAGGAATTAGGAGATAAAACGATTTCTTTTTCTTTTCATGCCTGTGAGAAAAAGCGAGGTGTTCTTATTGAAAAATTTTGTTTCATATCAGGGAAATTTAAATTTTTTAAATTAGCGGCAAAAAGCGTGAAACTCCAGTCGTAGAAAGCAAGAAATAACATGTTTTCATCCTAATGCCCATCTAAAGAATTCTGTATTCTGTCATTTTGATGAACTACAATGTAACTATCCAAAATATACAGTTCAATTTTTACGCCAGTTAGAAGTACACTAGGTGTACGCTACGTCGTAAATGAACGTAAAAATCGACGTACTATCTGATAATAAAAGTGAAGGATAAATGATGAATAATATCGTATATTTCGGTTAGTTCCATTTTAGTTCATCAAAATAATAGAATATAGAATAATTACAGTCAATGCGACATTCTTTAAATAGATATTCGGATGAAAATCACTTCTTGCCTTCTATATCCATGTTTACATGAGTATAGAAGATGAAAGCCAGAAAAATCTCATCAAACACAGTAGAAAAGGCGACATTCTTTGATGAATAAAGATCACCCGGTTGAACTGGATTTTTGGTTATTGTGAAAAACCTAAGCGGAGTCTCCCACTGTAAAAAGCGCCTGAACATTGCTAAGATCTTTGCCCTATACCTTGACATTTTCTGAATAACTTTTGATTGATTATACAGTGATTTTATACCTGTTTGATGTGAAAAAGAATTTTGTAAGCTCATATTCTCTTGAGAAAAGAAGTTAGGTACATTTCGAAGAAAAAACTGTCCGTCCACATATAATGTGGATGCTAATTCTAAGATTAAAATTTAAGAAAATTAGACAAAAAAGTTTCAAAAAAAAATGATTTTTTTTTTCGAAACAAGTTCACTTTATGGGGAACCTAAGGAATCCAGATTTTGACTATTCCATCGCAACGAGCAACACTTAAAACCTATGAATTGGCAAAAGAAAGTTGGCGGCAAGCACTCGAAACCCACAAAAAATTCGATTTACTCTCATTAGTGCTTGAGGGGACCAAAGGCACAAATTTTTGACAAAATTTTTTTTCTGTTAAATATATATCATTGAACTCAGTTTCGTACGTAGATTACGAATATAATATTGGTTTTGAGTAGAAATTCTAAAAATTTCGCTCGATTCCTGAGGAGGACCAAGGGCAAGAAGTTATGACGAAAAAACGTTTTTCAGGAAATTGCATCATTTGGCTTGGCTTTG